CACTCAGCGATGAGTGGTTTGCCCGTGGCAACACCGGCACCCCTCCTCGCTGGTCTGCCCTCAACCCACGCCCCACTCCCCTTGAAGTCCGTTCCTCTCCCCTCTATGAGCCTTCCTCCTCCACCCAGGCCCACCAGGCCCTTGCCCCTCCCCAGCAGCAGCAGCAGCAGCAGCAGCAGCAGCTTGGGATTCAGCAGCAGGGGTTACAGCAGTATGGGCAGCAGCTTCTCCTTTCTCAACTCCAGCAGCAGCTCCAGCAGCTCCAGCATCTCCAGCAGCAGCTCGACCTACAGCCGCAGCTGCCCCTCCTCCCTCCTCCTCCCGTTTCCCAGCAGCAGCCCTTTCCTACCTGGACTGCCGGGAGTGCTGCCTCCGCAGCCCATCTCTCGGGTGCATCTCCAGCGCCGTCTGCAGGTGGCAGTGTGACCGCTTTCCCCTCTTCTGGTTTTGTCGGTTTGCTAGGTCAACCTGAATCTGTTGCATCTCCCATGTACCCTTCCTCTGTTAATGCAACTTCGTTCCAGTACTCTGCCTCACCCTCCTCCACCCTTGACTTCGTCCTGGACATTGGAGCCACTGACACTGTCCTTCGTGATGCTGGTACACTGCGCCCTCTCCCCACACCCACCTCCCTCCTCGGTGCTGATAGCAGTTTTTCTATCCCCTGTCACAACACTTCCACCCTTGCCTGTCCTCTCTTTCCCTCTGGTACTGTCACCGGTCTCCACATTCCCTCCCTACGCACTAACCTCCTCTCCCAAAGGTCCCTCCAACAAGCCAATATCACCACTGTCTTCCCAGGTGGTGCTAACTACTGTGCCCTTTACAACACTGCTACAGGTCGCCTTCTCTCTCGCATTCCCTTCTGTCCTCGTTCCCGTTTGTACACCCTTCGGATTCCCCGCCCCCCCACCTGCCAAGTCGCCTCTCCATCTCTCCCTCCCCCTCCCCTCCCTCCCACTAACCCACCCCTCCCTCCCCGCCCCCCTGACTCTGACTGTTCCTGTCGCTCCCTCTCCCACCCTACCATCCTCCTCCATCACAGGCTAGGTCACACTAACTTCGCTACTCTGCGCTCCTCTGTCTCCTCCGGTCTCCTCCACGGTCTCCCCTCCTCCCTCCCTCCCCTCCCCAAATCCCCTGCCCCCCCCTGCACTGTCTGCGTTCAGAGCAAGCTCAAGCAGCAGCCGCACCGGAGCTCCCCCTCCACTGCTGCACAGCCACTTGACCTTGTTCACATGGACCTCTGGGGCCCTAATCCCTCTCCCACTCGCCAGGGTCATCGCTACCTTCTCGTGCTCGTTGATGATCACAGTCGGTACTCGTCCGTCTCTCTCCTTCGGACGAAGGCGGACGCCCCGGCTGCGATCATCGCCTGGCTCGAGCGGGCAAACACCCATTTTGGGCGCCCTGTTCGCCGCCTTCACTCTGATGGTGGTGGTGAGTTCCTTAACAACCAAGTCTCCTCCTATTGTCAGTCTCGTGGCATTCTTCAGACTTACACCCTCCCTCACTCCCCACAGCAGAACGGTGTGGCTGAGAGTCGTGTTCGAGAGATCACCAAAACAGCCCGGTGTCTTCTTGTCCACTCCTCCTGCCCCCCTTCTCTGTGGGGCTACGCCCTCCTTCATGCCGCCCTCCTTACTAACCTTTACCCTCACCCCCTTCTCCCTTCCACCACCCCCACTGAGCTGTGGACAAAGGACAAGCCTGATGTCTCATCTCTTCGTGTCTGGGGCTCAAAGCCATATGTCCTTATTCATCCCCTCTCTCCCCTCTCCTTCACCACTTCTTCCAGGCTGTTTTGCATCAACCTCCTCCTGCAGCAGCCCCCTCTGCCTCCTCTCCCTCACCAGCAGCAGCGTCCGCAACGGCACCAGCAGCTGCACCAGCAGCTGCACCAGCAGCAGGACCAGCAGCGGCACCAGCAGCAGGACCAGCAGCAGGACCAGCAGCGGCACCAGCAGCAGGACCAGCAGCGGCACCAGCAACGGCACCAGCAGCGGCACCAGCAGCGGCACCAGCAGCGGCACCAGCAGCGGCACCAGCATCGGCACCAGCAGCGGCACCAGCAGCAGCACCAGCAGCCATCCCTGCCTTCCACACCTCCCTCTCTGAGGACTCCCATGAAGAGTTCCTTGACCTCCACCTCTGTAACCCCTCGCTTCTACCCATCACATTCGACCTCTCCGCCACACCCGTCTTCGCCTTCTCCTCTGCTCCCTCCGTTTTCATCCCTACCACGTATGCGGAGGCAATGGCTTGCCCCGACGCCCCTCTTTGGCTCGCCGCCATCATCAAGGAGCTGGAGACCTTTATCGCCAACTCCTCCTTCGTTGATGTGCCTCGCCCTCCCGCCTCTACGAACGTGGTGAAGGGGAAGTGGGTGTTTCGCGTCAAGCAGCTGCCAGGGGAGCCGCCCGTCTACAAGGCTCGTTACTGTGCCAAGGGCTTCACGCAGCGGTATGCTGTTGACTTCTTCGATACTTTCTCCCCTACCGCCAAACCTGCTACCGTTCGAGCCGTACTCGACCTCGCCGCTCGCCTAAATATGGAGATCCACTCGATGGACGTTTCTAACGCCTTTCTGCAAGGCGTCCTCCGCGAGCTAATCTACATGGAGCGTCCAGCCGGCTTTCACCTTCCCTTCCCAGCTAACTCTGTCTGGCAGCTGCGTCGACCTGTGTATGGGCTCCGACAGGCCCCTAGGGAGTGGCATGCTAAGCTTGCCGCCACCCTTGCTGAACTTGGGTTTCGCACCTCCCGCTCCGACGCCAGCCTCTTCCTCCGCGCCTCCCCCTCCCCCTTCTACATCCTTGTGTATGTCGATGACATGATTCTGCTCACAGCCGACCTTGCTGAGCTGGAGAGTGTTAAGGCTGAGTTGAGTAGTCGTCTCAAGTGCAAGGACTTGGGAGAGCTGCAGCATTACCTGGGCATGACCATCACCCGCGATCGCTCCGCCCGCACCATCTCTCTCTCCCAGGGTCATTACTTGCAGCAGGTCTTGGAGCGGTTTGACATGGCCCGAGGCGGTGCCCAACATACTCCTCTTTCTGTCGGGCACCACCTCTCTCCACCCACCTCCCCCAAAACCTCCTCCCATCCTTATCCCGAGCTCGTCGGCTCCCTCATGTACGCCATGGTCTCCACTCGCCCTGACCTTGCCTACCCCATCGGCGTCCTCGCTCGTTTTGTTGGCGCAGGCAACCATACGGAAGAGCACTGGCAGGCCGCCAAACGTGTCCTCCGGTACCTTCGTGGCACCAAGGACTATGTCCGTACCCTTGGCGGCCCCTCCCCACCTCTCCTCAGCGGCTAAAGTGACTCCTCCTGGGCTGATTCTCGGCCGGATCGTCGCTCCTCACAGGGCTATGGCTTCTCTCTTGGCAGCGGCCTTATCAGCTGGCGCTCCACCCGCTCCTCGGCTATCGCCCTCTCCTCCTGCGAGGCGGAGTTGTATGCGGTTACCATGGCTGCGCAAGAGGCCCGCTGGCTCACCTTCCTTCTTGCGGAACTTGGTGCCCCCCAGCGCTGTCCCACCATCTGGTGTGACAATGCCAGTACTATTCACCTCACTAAGGATGCTGTGTTTCACGGGCGCTCCACCCTCTGAAGCCAACGCCCATCCGGGTACGGCTGTCCCCGAAATGGGGCACGCGCTTCTGGTGATCGATGGGGGTTTTAGCAACTAAATGCACAGCCGGTATAATGCTGCTTACCGAAGCGCCTTCTCCCTACGGGGGGTTGGTTTCCTCCGGGGATCTCCTTAAAGCCCAAAAAAAAAAAAAAAAAAAACGGGCGCTCCAAGCACATTGAGCTCCGTCATTTCTTCATTCGCGATCTTGTTCAGGCGGGGCACCTTCGGCTCGACAAGATTGACTCGGCGACCAACCTTGCCGACATCTTCACAAAAGCTCTTCCTCATGCGGCTCATTCTTCCCTACTTCATCTCCTTGGCCTCACTCCTCCTAAGTCGTCTCCCGCCTCTTGATTCTAGCCTTCTAGCCTTCTGCATGTTGGGGGGTTGTGTTGTAATTTCATATCTTATACAACATACATAGGCTAGAATTAGATGTGTAGCACATTTATGAATTGGGGGGTTGTTTAGTGTACCCTCCAACCACATTTTGTGGTTGGTTGGGATTGGTCCTTAACTCAACCAATCCCAACCAACACACATTTGTGGTTGCTTGGGCCACAAGCAAGCTCACCCATTGGTCAACATATTGGCCAATCGGGTAAGCTTCCCTCTCATCTCTCTCTTGCTCATTGTTTGTACTAAAGGGCCTCTTGGCTCATTATTCAATTGATCAATTCTCTCCTTCAACAGTAACCCCACACCTCTTTTCTCCCCTTGCTGCCACAAGCCACAAGCCTATCTCTCCTCCTCTGCTGCCGTCACAAGTCACCTCTGCTCTGCTTTGCTCCTCACCCGGCCTCTCCCACCAGTCTGTGCTGCTGGGCTCATCAGACGACCACGTGTGGCTCTACTCGCCTGACTTCGGCCGATGCCTCTCCAAGGTACGCCATGCCTCTGTGTGCCATGCATGCCGCTGTATGCATTCACATGATCACGCTGTCATGCATATATATCAGCCTTGAAAGCTGCCCTCTTGTTCCCCACTCTGTCAATGCTCCCCTGTCCCTTTCCTCCTGCCTTTTCCCTCCCGCCCCTTCCCTCCCATGCCTTGCGTTCCTCCTCCCCGCCTGCCCTTCCCGCCCCCTGCCCTACCCTCTACACCTTACCCCCTACCCCCTCCCCTCTGCCCCTGCCTGTGCGTCATCAGATGCACGCACACGATGACACGGTGTCATGCATTCAGGTCAGCCAATGGGGCGCTGACACGTGTCTGTTCACAGCATCATGGGACGGCAGTGTGAAGCAGTGGAGCATGGCGCACTCGCCTTTCCTCTCCGCCTCGCCCTTCTCCTCCTTCTCCTCCTCCTCCCCCCACTCCCATGGCGGCTCAGACACATCAGGTGAGGCTATGCAAGATATGTGCGCAAATTCTCTACACCTTGCCTCCTCCTCCTCCTCCTCCTCCTCCTCCTCCTCCTCCTCCTCCTCCTCCTCCTCCTCCTCCTCCTCCTCCTCCTCCTCCTCCTCCTCCTCCTCCCCCTCCCCCACTCCTATGCTAGCTCAGGCACATCAGGAGAGGCTTTGCAGTGAAGCAGTGGAGTATGGCACACTCACCCTTCCTCTCCGCCTCGCCCTTCGCCTCCTTCTCCTCCTCCCCCCCCCACTCCCACGCTGGCTCCGACACATCAGGTCAGTCCAGCCGCACCAAAGTCCCTCCTCATTTTTCTCATCCCCACCCCTATCCTATGCTCGCCCTATTCCCCCTTCTCCTCTTCCTCCCCGCACTCCCATGCTGGCTCCAGCACAACAGGTCAGTCCATCCACACTCATGCCCCTTCTCCTTCTCCTCCTCCCTGCGTTGATATGGTGGCACAGACAGAACAGGTGTGTGAGTGAGTGAGACAATGCAATCTCTGCCCACTCCTCTCATCTCAGCATGGTATGATCGCTCTTCTCTTCTTCTATGTGCCCCCTTTCTCCCTCTTCCCCCTATTTGTCCTTCCTCTTCCTCACTGAATCTCCCCACCTCTCCACCTCTCTACGATGGAGCTCCATCAGACGACCAAATCACACCCTATCCTCAAACCTGCTTCATTGTCTTCTCCTTCCCCCCCCCTTCCTCCCTCATTGCACCTCCATATTTTTGCCCTCCTTCCGCCTTCCTTCTGTACTCGTTCCCCTCTCCTTCCATCATCCTTCCCATCATCTCTTCTCACCAGTCCACCCACCTCCTCTAGCGGAGCTCAATCAGCACGACGCACCAATCACATCGCTCCAAGTGGCCATCCCTGCCACGTCAGCATGGCCCCTTGCTGCCTCAGGTTCAGCCAATGGTGAGAGAGTGACAGCTCAGTGAAGGGACAGATCCAAGTGATTGCAAACGCGTTTGGAGTCTTGCATATGAACGTGGTACACTTGGGCCTCCAAGCGTTTTCAGTCACTCAGGAGCAAATGTTATCTGATCTGAACTGAGAAACTCGTGCTCTCAAACTCCTTCCTGGCACGCTTTCTTCTGCAGTGTGTTTGTCCTCGTCTGTGTTTCATGGCCATTTTGAAATCACTCAACAACTTGCCTCCTTCTTTACCACCAAGATTTCCGTCCTGTGGAATCCCCTTCCTGTACCTCCATCTACTCACTCTGTCTAACAACCCTTCCTCCATCTTTTTTTATTCAGAGTCAACTCAAAATTACTTGTGAGTCCATTGAAAGGACCTGTGAGTTAATTCCTGTATCACCATCCATTCACTTTCCTTCCTACCCCCCTGACCTATGAGCCCTCATCAGTCCCTCCCGCATGATCCCTCCCCCACTTCGTCTCCCTCCAGGCGCTGTGCTGCTGTGGGACATGCGAGCACCCCCCTCGGCCTCTGTCCCATGGAGCTGCCGCCTCTCCCCTCTCACCACCACTACCCCCACATCGCCGCTAGCAGTAACAGGGCTGGTGTTCTCATATGGGGGTCTCCACGTTACCACTGCTGACTCCACAGGGGGGCTCAGAGTGCTGGAGGTGAGGCTTTAAGGGGTTCGAGGGCTTTAAGGCTCACAGTGACAGCATGGTGTTTTAGAGGATTCTCAAAAGCACCCACCATGCACAGATCGCGGTAATCTCAATGATGCGCAGCTCATTTGGCCTCTACTCATCCCGCCGCCGTCTCATCCTCCTCCCTCCACCTCTGCCACCTGGCTCTCGTCAGATGCGTATGGGCGGTGCTGAGCTGGCGTCTCAACACTGTCCAGGTGGCGGCCTCAGTTGCTGCCAGCCTCTCGGCGACCAGTCTGTCCTTGCTGGCAGGTGAGGAGATGAGGAAGTAGGACTAAGAAGCAATTTGCATCATTTTCATCTTGTACAACTAGAAAGCCTTCATCTGCATCGTGTCGTAAGTTTCACGGTCTACCGGAGCTCTCATCAACCGATCTCACAGATTTCGAGTGAAATTACCTCATCTTCTTCTCTCCTCTCTCAGTGCTTGGGACCACTGTTAGTCCTCTTGCCTCGTCTTCCCTTCTCACTCCAGCGTTCAACCCTCTTGCCTCATGGTCCATCCGACGCTCCTTCAAACACTCCCCCAATTTCCCACCTTCCCCTTCCCCTGCCTTCCTCCTTTCAGTGATTCGGGCGACATCATTGCATGGGCATGGGCATCTGAGCTGGAACAACTTGGCTCTCATTCCAATGGAGCCATGCGGCAGGGTGCAAGAGGTTTTAACGGCCTTTCTGGGAGTGTAGCAGCGAAGCAGCACGGTGTACAGTATTCATCGAAGGCAGCTCAAGGCTTGAGTTTCTTTTCTGTGCCGATTAGTTCGTCTGGTGTGTCTTCCCTTGTTTCTGCAACTGGTGCGAAGAACGCGAGGGTGATGGTCGTGGGTTGTGAAGAGGGTTCTGCAACCTTGGCAGTATGATATGGCGAGGGAGGAAGCAGAGGGATATTGCTTACATATCTTCCCAACCATATCAGATATTATGTACCGTATGGCCCCGGATATAGGCGCCGTCCGATTAAGGGCCCCGGCGCTTCTATCTGGAGCATGGCGGTTATGGCCGGAACTCGATTATAAGCGCCCCCCCTCTAGAGGGTGTACTTATTATAAGTGCATCCCTTTCACGTTGTGGAGGTCTCATTCCAAAAAAAAAACATTAACACTTAACACTAAATATGAGCATGATAAATTTTCACCTACAAAATCATCATTGACTGTTTTATCTTGCAAAGTTCAGCATTTCTACCTAGTAGAATCTACTCCTCGTCGGATTCGGGCTCCTGGCAGTTGTTGCCAAAGAAGCCATCGGCGATGATGGCATCATCGACGTCCACCTCCGCGGTCAGCTGGCTCCGCCTGTGCGCCATGGCGAGGCCGTCCTCACTGCCGTCAAGCGCGTTGCTGATGCCACAGGTGAGGAAGGCGCGCTTGATGAGGTCGGTAGGCACTGCTTTCCAGGCCCGTGAGATCCACCTCACGACCACCTCTGGGGGCGGCTTCTTCAAGTTCCCTGTACCAACAGAATCACACAATATCTAGTTAGCGCAACAAAAGGGCGGGGTCAATCATCTACGGTACCGTATCACCCCAGATAGAAGCGCAGGCCTATTATAAGCGCATGCGCTTCTATCTGGAGCAATGCGCTTATGGCCGATCCTCAATTATAAGCGCACCCCCTGTGAAAACGTTACTTATTATAAGCGCATGTACAATTTTAAATTAAAATTTATGTTCGAAACGGTAGCGAGTTTCAATTTTGAAGCGAGTAAAATCTCATTTTCGCTGAGTTTGACTCTCGAAGACCTGACTGGCTGCGCGTCCAGTCAGGATGTGCTGGCATGACTGCAAAGTGTCGCATCTTGGCCCCTGTGTGCTGGAAGAGAATCGCTTGCAGGCGATTCTGCTTTGTGACGCGAAAATTTTCGACTCGGTTGAAATGGCAAGAGTGAAACATACAATTTGGTGTCTTAAATGTATAAATTCGTATATGTCATTATATAAGCGCATGCGCTTATAAAAATGACTCAATTAGAAGCGCACCCCCCTAAAAAACATTGTTTTATTATAAGCGCACCTGCGCTTCTATCTGGGGTGATACGGTAAGATAGGGACTCGCGTGGCTGCCGTACCTGCTCTGGTTAGCTGTTCTTGGCCTTCTTCCTGAAACCACTTCTGATACTGCTGGCGGACGCTCGCCTTAAAGCTCTTGTTGATGGAGACGTCGAGGGGCTGTACCTCCGCCGTGCAGCCAGACGGGATGATCGCCGGCATGCAGTTGAGCTCGTGAAACTTCTCCTTCACCCCCTCAGTGAGGTGACCGCGGTACGAGTCCAGTACGACCATCGAGCTCCGCGCATGCCTCCCGAACCCAAGCTTTAAAAAGAGCTTGATGCACTCCTCAAGCCATCGTATGACGCCTTCCGCGTCCATCCAGCCGTTCTCGTGACACGCCACGACCACATCTGCATAACAAACAAGCTTCTGTAAGTTTCTCTTAAAAAATAGGACCGGTGAAAACCATACAAACAAGAATCATGATTTACCCAACGGGAACACCCCTTTCGGCACGGTCTTCCGCTTGAAAAAAACCCACGGCTTCAGCTTCATCCCGTCCGCCGTGCACGCCAACATCACGGTCACGCGCTCCTTCTGGTACCCCACGCTCTTGATGGGCACCGACCGAACACCGGTTTGATCGACGGTAGTGGTGGCGGGCATCTCCAGCCACAGCGGCGTCTGGTCGGCGTTGATAATCCACGTCGTCTCGATGCCGCGCTCCCGACGCTTGTCACGGACGAATTGCCATAACTTCTTGCATTGCTCCGCGACATCTGCGGTTGAACACTGTTACGGTTAGTGAGTAACACGTGCATACACATGGCATAGAGAATAAAAATGATTCTTACGGGCGGCGGTTTTCTGGGCGACCTTCGTCTTCATTCGCACGCTGAGATTCCACCGCCGACGGAACCGGTCCGACCACCGTTGGCTCCCTTTCCACTTCACGAGGGGGTAGAGAAACTTCATGAACTCCCGGGACCACTCGTGCAGGCGGCCGACGGACACCGCGGTTCCCTTGCGTCGCCAGTCGAGCAGTCGCTCATACACCTTGATCTCCATCGGGCGGTACCACGACGCCCAGCCGCGACCGTGCATGCGCTTCCTGGCAGAGTGGGCTTCCTTGAGGAAATCAGCGGCGCGCTTCCAGTTGGTGAGGCACTTGCGGTGGATGCCACTCTCGCGAGCCAGAGCGCGCACCGACACCGCCACATCGAGCTGCGCGACCCACTTCAACTTCTCGGCGGCAGTATAGGCCTGACGCTTGTGGTCGTTGGGCTTGTGCCTGGGAGAGGGGGGCGAGAATCACGGTTCTGTGTGTCAGAATGTTATATTGCTTACATTGTGTAGGCTATAGTGGGGTAGCCCATAAGGGGTACAACCCAATTAGGGTTAGTACTTGTACCCAACTCTTTCGTAGTTCATCCATTTCTCGTTCATTCTTCTGACATGGTTTTAGAGCAGGTCCTTCGCTAGGACCGTTTTTTTTCCTTGGGCCCACCACTGCGCTGCCCCACTAGCCGACCCTAGCCCGGCCCGTCGCCCCTAGGCCCGTCGCCCCTAGCCCGGCCAGTCGCCCCTAGGCCCGTCGCCCCTAGCCCAGCCAGTCGCCCCTAGGCCCGTCGCCCCGGCCCGTCGCCCCTAGGCCCGTCGCCCCTAGCCCGACCAGTCGCCCCTAGGCCCGTCGCCCCGGCCCGTCGCCCCTAGGCCCGTCGCCCCTAGGCCGGCCCGTCGCCCCTAGCACAGCCCGTAGGCCCGCCGCCCCTAGCCCGGCCCGTCGCCCCTAGGCCCATCGCCCCGGCCCGTCGCCCCTAGCCCGGCCCGTAGGCCCGTCGCCCCTACCCCGGCCCGTCGCCCCTTAGGCCCGTCGCCCTGGCCCCGTCGACCCTCGGCCCGCGCGCCCCGTCGACCCTAGGCCCACGCGCGCCCCGTCGACCCTAGGCCCGTCGCCCTCGGCCGGCCCGTCGCCCCTAGCCCGGACCGTCGCCCTACGGCCCGTCGCCCTTCGGCCCGTCGCCCCTAGGCCGACCCATCGCCCCTAGCCCGGCCCGTAGGCCCGTCGCCCCTAGTCCGGCCCGTCGCCCCTAGGCCAGGCGCCCCGGCCCGTCACCCGACGCCCCTACGTCCGCGACCGACGCCCCTACGCCCCGGCCCGTCGCCCGTCGCCCCTAGGCCTGCGCCTGTCGCCCCTAGGCCCGCGCCAGTCGACCCCAGGCCCCGCGAGCCGCCCCTTCCGGCCCGCCCCTCGACCCTGCAGCCCGCGAGCCGCCCTTGCAGCCCCGCGCGCCGCCCCTGGTGGCCCACTCGCCGCCCCTGCTCCTCTGCTAGCCGCCCCTTGCGGCCCTCTCACTGCCCCTTTGCTACTGCCTGCCCTGTGCTCTGCGCTGCTCTGCTTCTCCTCGCTCTGCATGCTGCGCCACTATGGCTTCTCTCCGCGTGCTAGCGTTCGATCATGAGGGACGCCCCCTACAGTTTGACACGTGGCTCGATGACCTGCAGCTGTACCTACTGAGCGACTCTAGGGACATTGTTTCCTTGTTTGACCACACGTCTGGCGCTGCTCCCACCCCTCCCACCACAACTGACAGTGCGACCCGCTCACAGTGGCTGACTCGCGACGCTGCTGCCCGCTTAGCCATTCGCAACCACCTGCCGTTGGCCTAATGCGCTCACTTCGGACAGCACAGGACAGTACAGGCACTGTACGACGCTGTCGTCGCTCGCTACTCCTCGCTTGCCACTGCTGCTCCGGGCCGCCTCCTACTGCCCTACCTGTTCCCCGAGCTATCCGCCTTTGCCACAGTAGAGGACCTAGTTTCCCACCTTCGCACTAGCGACGCTCGCTACCGCGCTGCCCTCCTGACAGAGTTCCTTGCAAAGAACCCACCCCCGATGTACATCACTCTTTACTTCAAAGTCACCCGCCTCCCTGACTCTCTTCGCGCTGTCAGGGACCACTTTCTCGCCCTTGACCCCACAGCC